ACTAGATTTTTCTTACTTCCAAAAGGTATCTCCAGAATTATGCTTGGATCAGGAGTCGCGTAGGATTTATTACCAAAAAGTAGCAAAGCTAGCCTTGGCCCTCAAGAAGAGTTTAGTCTTCCTGGGAGAATGGGCTATAGGAGCTTTGTATCTGAAGTGGTTAAGGAGCAGAGCGAGACTGTTGAAATGAAGGGTGTGGATTGGAAAACTGCAGAAGGGCAGAGAAGTGAAACAGAGGAAGAGTGTCGAGGGGAAAACAGCAGTCAGTATTGGTGGATTGAGGGGATCGAGCTGTGCTGATCATGTGGTTTACGCTGGGCCTCAATTTACAGGAGTAAGTGAAACTCAGTTCACAGTGGGACATGAATGCTAAACAGAAAATCTGGAATCTTACAGGTGTGAGTATGGAGAGGCAGTGAGCCAGAGACTGACAGAGATTCTGGCAATAAATACTAATTTGAAGGAAAACTGAAATTGCAGAAGGGTCTGGAAAGAAAAATTCATGGTTGCTGTTAAGAAATTGTAAAGAATTGGCTTCAGCGAACTATTATTCACCCTAAACTGGTCTTAAAATATAAATACTGTGTGACACATTTAATAAATGGTGTTTAAATATTTCACGTTCTATTTTTTATCAAACTGGCATTCTTTAATCTCTTGAAGGAAATCCATTTTCTGGTGATGTCATCACCTCCGGAGAAATCAGTTTTACCAACGTACAGCCGAACCACACCGCTGTGTACCAGTGCGAGGCCTCGAACGTCCACGGCACGATCCTGGCCAGTGCCAACATCGATGTCGTAGGTGAGCTCACCGGGGAGCGGGCTGTTAACCTGTCATTTTCTACAGGAAAATGTTCAAGGTCATACTCACAAGTAGACTAAATTCTCGGCACATAAAACACGGGGGGAAATCAAAATACCTTCCACCTTCTATTTTTGTATTAGACTAAAGTTATACTTTCAAAAATGCATGGCATTTGAATACTTTCTTATTCAAGAATATGTGCCGTGATATTCAGCTGTCTTCTGTTCTTATTAATATGGCTAGGATATAGAAATTAATTTGTCTGTCGTCTTATACGAAAATTTAAAACTATATTTATATTGCTTTCCAATAGATGTTCGCCCGTTGATACAAACGGCAGATGAAGAAAATTACGCTACAGTGGTTGGGTACAGTGCTTTCTTGGACTGTGAGTTCTTTGCTTCACCCGAGGCAATAGTGTCCTGGTAAGCTGGTACAGTTTTCTTAAGAGAATGTCAGGTGTAGATTTCGCCTTGTTTCTTCATCCATCATTTGACAGGCTGCATTGTGTCCATGTTGTTACAGGTAGCCAAGGCCTCTGAGCAATTAGGTTGCAAACTTAACTACCTCTCCTGGAACCATTGACTAGATTTGTAGGATTGTCTCATGTGGGGACATTCGGAGAGCCATTTTTGCTCACAAAGGAAGGCAAGGCACTGAAGTTATTACTAAGACAGTTTCACAGGGAGATTCAGGTTTTCATTATGGGTATATCTAAGATCAGACATTACTTATGTTGTTGTTTTGTATATTACCTAAATAATTATTAAGCCTGCATTTCATTTCAAATGCCTATGTTTAAAACTTTTCCAACATGCATTTTGAATTTAATTTCAGTATATCGGATGGTGTAGGTAACTCCAAACACATTGTCACGTGGATCTACCATATTTGTTCCTACCGTGGGAAAATTTGGTTAAACTCTTCTTAAACAATTTCGCCCACGCTCTGCAGGGCTGAGGTTAGGGTGAAGTGGGCAAGGCAAGGTCATACAAATGTAGGGTTGGATTCTGTCTTTACTTAAAATGTGGATAATTTGTTCATTGTGGATTTTTTTTTGCATTATTTTTGGGTTTTGAAAATACCTCGTTAAAATATTATTTATTTTGATTACTGGGAGGTTTTGACAGTTCTTCAGTTTTGTCTCTGAGGCAAGTGCCTCATCCAAGCCCTGTAAAACCCCGTCTGAACAGCAGCTAGAGTCTGTCCTTCAGGAATTTTCTCTCCAGCAGCCTCTTACTGTGAAATGTTTAGGGTGAATCAAGCTGCGGCAGAAAATGGATGAGTGTGGGAGAAAATGACTCTGAGTTGATAAGAGCGACTGTAAACCTTGTCTACAGGACAGGAGAGGCTTTCCGCCTATAACATTTCTGAATGACCAATGTTCCCCCAGGACAGCAGTCTGTTCCGAAGGTTCATTATCTCTCTCAATTACTAGCTTTCCCATTTTAGTACTCTGAAGCCATCATTAACTAAAGAGTTCACCATCAATAAGGTGGAAAATACTTATTAAGCTCTAAGGACAGATGCAAAGTGGTACTGAGAGCTTTTAGGAATACAGCAGGAGCCTAGAGCTCAGACCCAGATTTCCTCCAGCCACGGTCTACTTGGGCAGGTAAGACACACGCCTGCCACCCATTCTGGGAAAACTGTAGCTCCCAGTGGGACATTTCATACGGCCTGCAAAGGTCCTGAAGAAGGGACACGACTGAATGACATCTGGGGCCAGTCTGAAAACAAGTATACAATTCTGTCACACCCCAAACTGATGTGAGTTTTCTATGCTTATAGGCAGAAGATGGAAGAGGCAAAACCCCTTGAAGGCAGACGGTATCATATCCACGAGAACGGCACGTTACAGATCAACAAGACCACAGAAGACGATGCTGGTTCCTACTCCTGCTGGGTAGAAAATGCTAAAGGAAAAACAGCAGTCACAGCCAATCTGGACATTAGAAGTAATTTTATTTGGTTTTTACCTTGCATGAATTCTTACATGAAGTTTGTCTTCATTTTCCCAAATGAAACAGTATGACTTAAGTTCGGTATCTGTTAAACTTCAGTAGGCGGTTTCAAAACTCCCAGATTGGGTTTCATCTAAAAGATCATCACAAGAATTACAGGCCACGTTGGTGGTGTGTACATGGCTTTAGACAACTGTGATAGGGAGCTAGGTGTTCTTGGTGATGCATGACCAGCAATATTCTTAAATTCCCTATTTTGGTATATCTCTGTAACCAATTCAGTGTAATGCCACCAGCAATCAACTCTATGAACCAAGTTACTTTATTTCAATAACCAACTCCATGTAAGTATCACCAGTAATCAACTCTTTGAACTAGAAATTTCGCAACTAAACTCATAAAGGCTCAGTTTCATGAAGACTTGGGCATGACAGAGTGAGGAGGGTTTTCGTCCTCTTTTTGAATCGTAAACAGGTTTGTATTTCTTCTCTTCTGAAGAAAGTCCTGGGAAGCCATTAATAAGTCTCTTGGGTTTTTCACAAATTAGTTAATTAATTAATTAAATTATTTATTTTTACTTGGGAGCTAAGCATCTATTAATCTCTTAATTAAAGCTCCATGCTAAATAAATGTGAATTGGTTCGATGTTTTCCCCACTCCATTAGCTAACGCAGGGTGTCTGTATTCTTGGGAATGGCGTGAGAATGACGGCCTGCCCTATTCCTGTCACACGTACTTAGAACAGTGAAACTTGGGACTGAATTTCTAAATTATGTATGGCGTCATGTTGTTGGGATTCCAGAAACAATAACTGGAAGACTCTGGAGTTTCCATGAACAGAGACGTTGAAACAGCAAAGCATTACGCTCAGTAGTTCTCCTTTCTGCCCAAGGCCAAGGGTATCTAGGAAAACCCTAGCGAGAACTAGGGCAATGCTCCCCAGCCACTTTTATGTGGGAATAAATTAAATTATAAACATGAGCTGAAATTTCTGTGTTAACTATGTTTAAGAGATAGATTTGAACGTCCGTCCATCCTTCCTTCCCATAGTTTTACCTTTTGACCCCCTTCACGCATTTCTTCCAAGACCCACCTTCCGCCTCTGTGACCACCAATCTGTTCTCTGTATTTATGAACTTAAAAAAAAATGTATTTGTTTCCACATATAAGTGAGAGCATACAGTGTTTGTCTTTGACTGACTTGCTTCACTTAGCATTATGCCCTTCAGGTCCATCCATGTTGTCACGAATGGCAAGATTTCTCTCTCTCTCTTTTTTTTGGCTGAATAGTATTCCAGTGGAATATTCTGCTTATATACACATATACATCCACATCCATTTCTTTACCCATTCATCCATTAATGGACCCTCAGGTTATTTTTATATCTTGGCTGTTGTAAATATTGGTGCACTGAAAGCGGAGGCACATGTATCTCTTGAGTTAGTATTTTTATTTTCAGATAAGTACCCAGAAGTGGAATTGCTGGATCATATGGTAGTGCTCTTTTTCATTTTTTGAGGAACCTCCATACTGCTTTCATAGTTGCTTCACCAGTTTACATCCCCACTAACACTGCCAGAGTTCCCTTTTCTCCATATTCTCGCCAGCACTTGCTAACATACGATCTATCCTGGAGAATATTCCACGTGCACCTGGGAAGAATGTTGCTTTTGGGTGGGATGTTCTGTAAAGCCCGTCTGGCCCAGCATGTCATTGAGGGCTGGTGTCTGCTTGTTGTTTTCTGTCTGGATTATCTATCCATTGACTTAAGTGGAATATCAAGGTCTCTTACTATTACTGTGTTGTTAATTTCTCCCTTTAGGGCTGTTAATCTTTGGTTTGTATACTTAGGGGCTTCTATTTCGGATGCATAAATATTTACACATGTTGTATTTTCTTGTTGGGTTGACCCCCTTTATCATTATGTACTGCCCTTCTTTGTCTCTTATTACAGTCTTTGAAAGGTCAGTTTTCTCTAAGTGAAGTTACCCTAAAACTCCTTTTGGTTTCCATTGGCATGGAATAGCTATTTCTGTCCGTTTGCTTTCGGTTTGTGTGTGTCCTTACATCTCAAGTGTGGACCTCTGAGTTCATCTTGTTTGGAACTCCCTGGGCTTTGTGGCTCTGGATATGAGTTTCCTTCTCAGGTTAAGGAAGTTTTCAGCTACTATTTCTTCAGATAAGAAATCCGGCTTTTTTCCCCCCATCTCTCTCGCCTCCTTCTGGCAGCCCTATAATGTGAGTGTTAGTCTTTTCACTGTTGTCCACTAAGTCCCTGAATCTATCTATTTTTAAATTCTGTTTTCTATTTGCTTATCTTATTGGGTGAGTTCCACTGCCTTGTCTTGAAACTCACTTACCCTTTCTCTGCTTTGTGTGGTCTGCTGCTGAACCTCTGTGGTCTATTTTTCTGTTCATTATTCTTCAGGTGTGACTTCTGTTTGGTACTTTCTCATATGTTTCATCTCTTTGTTGAAGTTCTCACTAGATGTTTGCCCATTCTTCTCCCCTGTTTGGTGAGCATCTTCATGACCATTACTTTGAACTCTTTATCAGGTGGATTGCTTATTTCCATTTCATTATATATTTTTTCCCCTGAGGTTTTATCTTATTCTTTTATTTGGAACATATTTCCTGTTTCTTCATTGTGTTTGACTCTCTGTATTAGTTTCTACACAGTATAGGAAACCAGCACCTCTCCCTGTCCTGAAGGAGTGGCCTTGTGTAGGACGTGAACCTTGTCACTCAACTCTACCCTAGCTCCTGGTTGTCTCTCAAACCCTTGTGCTTGTCCAGGCGACCTATTATATTTTTAATAGTTCCCAGTTGTTAAGCACGTGCTGAGACCTCTCAGTGCGCCATAGAGGAGCATCTGAGTGTCTAGATTCAGGCTGATTGGACCCAGACCCTCAGGCATCAGCACTGTTTAGATTTAAAAATTGCTCAGAGAACCCTTTTCAGGAAAACACCAATAATAGAAAGGTCCTATAGCAAATGTGAGGAGGATTTGTATTTCTTTTGGCAGGTCAGTGTAATGGCCTGCTGCTCCCTCTACTTGGATGACAGGGTACTTACTTGTTTAATCATCTGTTTTCACTAGTACTTAAACATTTCTCTCTGTCTCTGTACACACACACACACACACACACACACACCCTCCTTTCCTTCTTTTATTCTTTTCTTCCTTCTTTGCTGTCTTATATATTCTTATATTCTTTAATAGTAATTTTTTTCTGTGCCCTACCTTATCCAATATTCCAGCAACTATATTTTTTAAGGCACATAAATATTCTCCTATGATGTCTACATCTAATACCTCTCTGCATTTTCAGGTGATACATGTAATTAAAAAAATACTCTTTATAATGTCAATGGAGATGATTCTTGTTACACTTTATAAAATCAACCAATGTCAAAGTTAAGGAGCTCAGCCAGGTGGATGGTAATGAGAGTAAAGTCTGGAATCCAAATGAACCTTCACATGCCTATCAGTCAACGCTGTGCTTGGCCCAGAGTGGACCTCAAAACTGCCAGTACTCAGACAGAAGGACAAGTCCATAAACTTTTGGCCTGCTTTAATGTCCATTTTATATGTAAGGGTATACAGGAACCATATCCATGAGAATTAAGGGCATCATTTTTATATATGAAAAAAGAATGTCAGGAATGGAGTTGAATAGGAGGCTATACAGCATAGTGATTGGAAGTCATGGCTTTGGTCTCTTCCAATCCTGAGTTCAAATCACAGCTCAGTCCCTTACCAGTTAGAAAATATTAGTATCACTGATTAATTTCATCTTAGCTTTCAGTTACCTTCTCTGTAAAGTAGAGATATTAATATTCATAGAATTGTTATAAAATGTGACAATGTGAACTTCTTCAGAGTCTTGTTAAACAAGTGATTATTAAATTCTGCCAATTATTATTAAATGCATTTCTGGCTTTAAATTTAGAATTAGGAGTAAGATGTTTAATAATTGAGTTGAAATTAATTCAGTTTGATAATCTCTTCAAATTTCATGCTTGGAATACCAAAGACTCAATTTTACTAACACTTTTGATGTTTAATCACTTTCTTAAGTAACATATAGTTAGCAAATATCAGAACATGATTGTGGGATTGAAGGTCAGCTCGTGACATGTGGCTTCTGAGAGGGTTACCGCGGGCCACCCTGGGGTAAACATAGCTGCCTTAATGTGGCCCTGAAGAGTGAGGGTTATATATTTTGAAACAATTATAATGAAACAAAAATTTTAAAAAATGGCCATGATACCAATGTTTGAGCTTCACATTGTTGATGCTAATATAGTTTCAAAATACGACTGTAACTCATTCAACAAGAAATTCAACTAATATGTATTGAGGACCTACCGTATACAGGCTCCCTTCTGAACACAGCTCTCAGGGGACACTTGAATGTAATGAACAGGCACAGCTTCTGCCTGCGTGGAGCCTGTGTTCAGATTCCTCCCCTTCGTGCTGTTAGTTCGTCTATGCACAGGCGTCACCATTTAATCTGTGATTTGAGTTAATAGCAAACATGTTAATAGAAAATTAGTTGATTTTCCTCTTTTCTGTGTGGTGTTTTGGCCACATGTCCAGAAGCACCGGAAGGAGAATTTGTATTATTTCAACATCTCGAGGCATTTGTTTGCCCTTTTTACTCCCTTTCCCTACGAGGTAGCAAAGGAAATGGCTGTTAGTTAATACTTCCACCAAATTTTGTCAGGTGTCCTGGCCTGAATGGAATGAAAACAGTAATGATATATGACGTTAGGAAATGACAGGGAGACCAGCACTGCATCAGGATTTGTCTTTCATGTTGACCATTTTGGTTGATTAAATGGCAGGCATTTGATTACAAAGCATGCTGTGCTCTGTACTAGCTCTAACTAGTATCTCTGTTTTGTTAAAAACAGATGCTACAAAACTTAGAGTTTCTCCTAAGAATCCTCGTGTCCCCAGGTCACATACAGTTGAATTCCATTGTGAGAGCAAATGTGACTCATATTTGAAGCACAGTCTAAAGTTGTTCTGGAGTAAAGATGGAGAAGCTTTTGAAATGAACGGCACGCAGGATGGCAGGTAGGTAAACTGTTACAGTATCTTGCTATACCGGCTCGGAATTAAACCATGCATTTGAAAAAAAAAAGTTGCAAAAGTATTCACACTGCGTAAAATATAAAACGGATTATTTCAATCTTCAGCAACATTTAAAAGGTCATACAATGTACTTGTTCTGCTTTCCTCTCACACATTTGTCTTCTCATTTTTGCTGCTGGCTTTCCATATAACGTGGACCATCCTGTAAGAACTGCAGGAAACAGAAGCTACTCCTGTTACTTGAGGAACATTTATTGCATAGGCTTGAGTGCTCACAAAACCATGGGGAAGCCGGGAGGAGCTAGGCTTCAAGGGAGCTGCTCACTAAACGTTTGGGCTCTCAGTGATGTGGCAGTGCAGCTGCAATTCAGTCGTCTGGGAATTGCTGCCGGCTTCACTGCCCCCGCAGCCCCCTGGTGCTGCTGGTAAGTCCAGCGCTGACGGTGGCCTATCCACTGGAGTCGCTGTCTGCTCACATCGCCCCTGAGGAGATGGTGCCTTCCCCTCTGCCTCCCATGAGTCTGTCTCATTGGCAGAACCCACATCATATCTTGGATCCTGTTAGAAAGTATTGGCAAGTAGATGTTTAAGCCTTCCAGCTTCTTTTTAGAGAGTATAAAAATATAGAAGAAAGATGTAGAATAAAGTTTGAATAGATGCTGAATAGCACTAAACATTATTAAATGTATCAAAGAAGGGAAAATGATGGATATTTACTGAATGCCTGTGCTGTCTTTTGAAAGCAGAAGATAGCTCTCCTTTCGTTTGCGTTGTTACTAAATTAGGGGTTAAAAATTGACTCTCCTTGATCCAAGCCTCAGCTGCAGTTTCATTTTGAGATTCATCATTCTGCAGAACTAAATCTGAACCTCTTTAGGTAGGATGTGCATTCCCCAGACAAGATGTCGGCTGTGTCATAATTAAGAGCAGGGGCTCTGGTGCCCAGTGACCTGGGGTTGAATCCCAGCTTTGTCACTCGTTGGGTCTGTGACCTCAGACAGGCTGCCTAACTTTTCTGTGCCTTAGATTTATAGTCTATGACAGTTTGGTTCAAAAATTATTTTTAGAGGTAACTTCATCATAGGGTTATTGTGAGTCAATGCCAAGCACTTAGAATATACTAACCACTGAGTCCAGTTTAGCTATGAGGACTCACACTACTCTTTTTTCCAGCAGACTTGTCGCATTTCTGTTACCCGCTTGGTCTCTTTAGGATGTGTGTGTGCACATGCGCGTGTGTGCACACCACCTCTGTGCAAAGGCACTGGTCTCAGCTTTGGTACTTAATTTACTGCATCTCATTCTTCCCGTATACATAACATTTGTGGAAACACACCATGTGTATTGCAACTAGTTGTCAGTGAAGTAAACCAGAGATTGTCAGTATCTACACATGGCAACAGAGATCTTTGGCCTTTGGTTGGGTGTCAGTTGTCACCTGATCAGACCTCCACAAATTCTCTCTTTTATCACTACTGTCCGTCTATCTGGGGTCTTCCATATAACCCCTGGATTATAGCTAAGAAGGGAATCAGACTCATGGCTTGTTCATAATGTGATCTGCATAATTAGACCCCGAATCCAGAAATTCCATCCAGCCTGTGTGTGGGGCCCAGTTTTATAGCTTCTGCAGGATGCTGGGGCTGGCACTCAGAGGAGCCTCTGACTATCTGAGTGATCTAAGCAAGTAATGAAGACGTGCTTCTAATATTCTCTTAAGTAAGGAGTTGGGTGGGGGACGGTAATCTTGGTACAGAAGAGAGATCTGGCATGGGGAGGGCGGGGCGTGACTGCTGCTGACCAGTGTTGATCAAGGCCAGGAGCAGGCAGGGGATTCCAGCAGGGAGCGGAGACCACAGGTATCCCGAGAATTTCTGTACAAGTGATAGTAAGCTCCCATTTCTCACCTTCTGCTGGGCCACCTTCTCCTTATCACTAGGCTGGGAACCAGAAGTTTTTACCTACAAAGAGGTTACCTTTCTGATCAGAAGGCACAAGGAGAAAAATGTGAAATGACAATACCTTCTTCTCTTTCCTCCTGTCCTGTCACATGCAGGGGTCTGATAAGTGGTGGAAACTGCCGCTCTGGACCTTGACACCTGCCAGGTGCCTCATGTTAGGTTACACCTCCCATATACACTTGCCCTCAGTTATCCTCACAGCAAACCTATTAGGAAGGCTGAAAAGACCCCAAGGGATTGTCTGTGGATTTCTAGCCTGCAGGTGGCTCTACACCACACACTGTTGCTATGAAAAATGAAACGGAGGCCGGCTGTGATATCAAGCCATTGTTAAAACTTGGACTGTGTGTGCCAACTGTAAGGAGGGCTGTTGATGACCACAGAACGAGCAGAGGACCCGAGGGCTGTGGCATATGCCGAGGTGTCCGTCAGTAGGAGGATGAAAGGGAAAACGTGTCATGAGCACAAGTGGGAGGGCTTTATCTTGGCATCAAGAAAGGTCTTTTTCCCACTAGAAATGGCAGCAAATGATTGGGGTAGAGCTCGGGGCGGGGGCGGGGGGATGAGAAAGCAGAGATTATAAGGCATTAGGTCAGGCAGAGACTGGTCCTTTACTAACAAATGAGGAACTAAGGCCATTTGTTCAAGCAGAGATTCAGGAGGAATGGGAGTTGGAGGCGTTAAGAAATGTGATTAATTACGAGCCAACAGTGAATTAAATCAATCTGCTGATTATTACTAGCAAGACTCTTCGGGCACTTCCTAAGCCAGGCTCTATACACCAATCACTTGATGTATTTTCATTCATTACTCCTCCTGAAGAGAAAGAAAATACTCTTAGCCCCATTTTTTTTAGAAAATGTGAATTAGGTTCCACGTTTTGTTCAGGGTTATTCAAGCCCGAGTTGGTGGAGCTGAGCCTCAAACAGAGGTGTCCAAAGAGAGAGTCATTTTGTCATGTTGCCTTCACTGAAACGTGGCTGTGACACAGACGGGCTGGAGCAGGCGACACTGGAGGTTAACGGGGACTGGGGACTAGGAAGCCGGCTATTTCAGAGGAAGGCGGTGAGAGCTTGTAGGGTGATAGCAGTTTGTCCGGTGAGATAATGAAGCAGGTGAAAACAGGGGGAAGTAACTGGGAGAAACAGAGATGAAGGTGAAGCCAGAGGAGAGGTTGTATACAGAGTAGAAACCATTTTTAAAATGTAAATGTGCTTAACAAACAACAGGACTTCTTCACGTAGAATTCAGTTGACTGACGATGGAAACATAGCGTTAGAATGAAAGGCTTGTGGTCTTAGGTACTGAGAACTTGCAATACAGCAGAGTGTGTCCTTGCTATACTTGTTAGGCTGTGACATGAGCAAGAATTGCCTAGGTGTCATGTTCAAATGCAGTGGCCCTTGCCCTATTCCCAGAAGTTCTGATTCAGAGCCTGGGCTGAGGCCAACATGTGAAATTTTAATACCCTCCCAAGAAGTATCTTACCTCCCAAATTTCAAGGACCTGTGGGTCATTCTACCTTGATTAATTTGAAGGCAACTAAGGTACATTTGTGAGATTAAAAAAAAAACCAAGTTACCAAAAAGTTGCCCTTTCTTTCCGGCATGAAGCAGCCCCACACCAGGATACCAATCTTGGCAAGAAGGTGGTAGGATCTCGTGGGCCCTCGTGGATGTGCAGGGCACAAACAGACCTGCTGGATAGGTTATTAAATTGTATTTCTTCATCTAAGAAGGTAAACTTTTCAAAACTGTCAGTGTATGCGGTATTCTGACACTGTACCAAATGGACACATAACAGGAACTGAAAAACTAGTGTGTGTCAGAGCTGCATCATGTTTAGAATTACAGTGAGACTCTTGACCAGCAATAGTATAGAGTATCAACTGGCAGATCATTCAGTTGTTAGTGTGGGAGGAGTAAGGGTCTGACTTTGTCTAAAATCAAAAGCGGAACCGTGTTTGATCTCACTACAGTTTTAAGTGGTTTCCCATCACTCAGACTTTTCAGCAGTTTGTAAGGGATTATATATTCCTTCCCCACAATGAAGATACTATTTATTTCAACTAAGTGGCAAACTGCTATGAATATATCTCAAATTTGATAGATCTTTATGTTTTTAAACATTCTTGAGTAGTTATGTTAGCAATACCTAGGTACAGGGTAAAAGGTGTAACTTACAGAAAATTTTTTCATGTAGTAAACTCAGTTACAATTTAGCAACAAACAGAACAAAGAATAGTCAGCTGCAAATGATTTGCAAAAAGAAGTACTAGTCTGCCCTCTACTGTTCAAATAAGTCACAGAGTTTAATTTTCATCAGATCTTAACGTGCATTTTATTGGGAGGTGGAGGGGTGGAGGAGAAAGTTGTCCAAAAGAGGTAAGACTCATCTCAGAGCTGGGGTGTGAGTCAGGAACCTGCCTTTGTAATAAGCACCCAAGTTGATCCTGTGTAGATGGTTTCTTAAACATAACTAAAGAATTCCTCAAATTTATCTGAGCTATCATTAAGGTACGGTACACTCTTCACACAGCAGGCAAGACAGTTCCGTCACTGACCCATGCATCATGGATAGTTGGATTTGGTCATTTAAAACCAAACAAACAAACCTGGTTCTTTCCATGGTGAGATAGGCGTGTGTGTGCTTAAACACTGCTTTGTTATTTTTTTTAATATTATGTTTTTTACTATATTTTAAACTATGGCCGTCTCTAATAAAAGTTGTATTATGTGAGTTTTTTTTTTTAATTCTTCCTTGAATTGTTTTCTTTGGGGAATATTTATTTTTGAAAGAATTATGTTTCTATTGTTTGTTATTTTCATCCTCATCACATGCCCACTTTTTTCCTGGTAGGATAATTATCGATGGAGCTAATCTGACTATATCTAACATCACCTTAGAGGACCAAGGTGTATATTCCTGTTCAGCTCACACTGCTCTGGACAGCACTGCTGAGATGACTCAAGTAACTGTCCTTGGTAAGTACGCTAAGTAATAAGAAATCTTTGTTCATTTCTTCTCCATTACTGATTAAACTCCACTGCTCTTAGGCAATTAAAGCAATGATTATTTGAGCCTCTGCACATTTACTGTTAGTTTGAATTTTTCAATTAAACAGCAACCCCCCTTTTGAATGCTTTCTCCTCTTCTGGCTCTAAAGAAGTTAATTAATGCTTAATTTCTTTTTTCTACTTGGGTAATGTTGCCAAAAGCAGTGGGAGGTAGGGGTTGCTATCAGCAGCAAGAAAAGTGATGCATGCTTGAGTTCCTAGGACTCTTGAGGTATGCCTTCCTAGTGTGCAGAGAAATGTGGCTGAGAATGGAGATGGGCCAGTGTGGAGGGATCAGGTGGGGGTCCAGTGGTGGGTGCACAGTGGTCACACTGTCAACCAGAGGCCCAGACAGAGCTTCCAGGGTCTCAGGAAGGGTAGGGAGGGACTTCAAGGGTTCTGCAAAGAAAGGCCTATTTTTTTTTTAATAATAATGCTATTTAGAAAACAATATGCACACTTCACTGGTGTGATCAATGCAATTACCCTTGCAGTCACCCGTGTTTACCGCTCTTCAACCATCTGTGGGATCTCTTTTCTAATTCCCTTTCCAGATTCACTCTCCACGAGCTCTCTGAGTCTGGAAACCTGACCAGTATGGACGTTAGCAAACCACTTACTCTCAAGCTTTCATTTGGCTCTGCCAGTGGGGACCCCCAGCGGTAGAGGCGGTGGGCGGGTGTGTTTTCTCTGGATACTCCCTCCTTGCGGGCTGGCCGTGTCCCACGGCCAGAGTCATCGAGTCTCGCAGGGGGGCTTTCTCCACAGTTTTCTCTGGTGGGATTCTATCAGCTGCCCCGCCCCACCCTGGATAGCCTGCTCACATCTTTTGAGAAAGTCTTTACTAAAAACTTGTTGGAGAAACAGACTCAGAGACATAGAAACAGACTCGCAGACACAGTAACCAATCTTATGGTTACCGGTGTAGAAAGGGGGTGAGAAGGGATAAGTTGGGAGTTTGAGCTTTGCAGATACTAACTAGTATATATGAAATAGATAAACAACAAGTTTCTTCTGTACAGCCCAGGGAACTATAGTAAATGTCTTGTAGTAACCTATAATGAAAACAATATGAAAACGAATGTATGTGTATGTATGACCAAAACATTATGCTGTACACCAGAAACTGACACATGGTTAACTGATGATGCCTAAAAGAAAAAAAAAAAAACTCGTTGGACTGCCCTAAGTTGTGTGAACTGTTTACTCTTTGCTGGGGCCATGACTGATCAAGACATTTTTACAGTTTTCTCTCATAGTTCTGTTTCAGTGGGCACTGTTTAGTTTTCCTTTGGTTTGCTGACAGTCCTTAAAAGTGTTTGGTTTGGCCTAAATGCTTTTATCATAGGCTTAGATTAATCCTTATCATTAACGGGCATTTGTGTCTTTAGTGCTCTGGTTGCTGGGATTCACAGGTAGGCTACTAACCACGGTGCAGACTGGGAGGGAAGAATTCAGTCACTTTTGAGATAAGCTGGTGAAATATGAGTAAACAGGCTGGAGCTCTTCTAGTGACGCAAATGGCCACTCTATTTCATGAGAGAAAAATGACCACCATGTTTCAAGTAAAGCAAATGGCCCTTATGCGTTAGGTAAAGCAAATGGCCACCATGTTGAATTCTCCTGGAAAAAAATAAACAAACAACACCACACAGAAAAACAAAACAACGAAAGAGTTCCCAGGTGGTAGAACCTATGGACTTGGTTCAATAGAATTAAACCTTTAGGTGATACGTTTCATCCCCCAAGGAATTTTGGCTCCCTCAGGGGACTACAGGCGGAAAAGTTCAGTCCTTAGTAATCACTCCGATAGTAATTGACCAGATAAAGTGGTTGAGCTGCAGGTAAACTGGAGGTTGTCCCTGGCACAAGGATTGCAAGTCTGAGTGTCAGGATTTCATGGGCTTGGCCCCCAAGTATTTTGAGCAGTGGCAAGGGGATTGAGCCCCCGACCACCTGGTGCTCGCTGTCTACGTTTTCCTGTGAGATTGAATGTATCAGGCTTGTAGTTAGGGTGCCAGCTTCTAGAACCCGTACATTTTGATAACTTTACATAAACAGTGTCTATAATTACATGCACTGTTTGTGTATAAAGTAAGTATGAATTTTTTTATGATGATAAAATAATTTAAAAAAATTCTATGAGATAGGCTGAATTTTCTTAATCACTTCTTGGAGTTTACATCCTAATTTTTTAGGCCAGCCTCGGCTTTTAAGAAGCATATTCTCATGAACTGACAGTAACAAATGACAAATCCATGTATAGTTTCTAAAAGACTGTTTTTCCTGGAACACAATTTTTTAAAGCATATGCTTGACCCACTTCAATCAAAAGTTACTTTCAAAAGCCTTGCCAGAAACGTCCCCTATGAGTTTCATTCTTTTAAGTTTCAATCGCAGTCCATCAATTGTAGCTCCATATGATTCCTGGCAAGAGCAGATTTTCATGTCCGTCACCACATGCTGCATTGGTTGTTTCAGGAAACTTGAGAAATGAGTGGACTTAGGATGTGCTGATGAGAAACCTAAGTTCTCTGAGCTCAGAGACTCTCAAGCGTGTGGATGAAATAATTTCTTATTTAAGGCAGTACAGTTTGGACACAGTCACTGACCAGAGTTTTAAAGTAAACATGGTCTCTTTTGAATTGAAAGCAGTGTGTTTTTATCTGGCCGGTATAAATTTCCAACAGTTGTCAAAAACTCAGCAGGAGCAATAGACGCTGCTTCCCACTTGGAGAAGGAGCCTTAGAAAGCCGTGTGAGGTGTTACTGTCATTGTCTCCTCTGAGGAAAGAGAAGCATCCTTCAACACGTGAGAGAATGAAACCAAATTTTGGAAGAAGGATCACTAGGGCTGAGATTCCTTTTTTTTTAAACTGTTGCTTTTATTTTTAAAGCACCAGAAACTTCCATATACTTTGAACACTCGTAAAACTCGCCTACTCCATTTTCTGTTCTCTGCCACAACATTTATCAGTGCCAGATCCTCCTCTTCCAATGTAAACTGCCTTCCTACACTTCGGTAGAACTCCAGGCCAAAAGAGTATAACAGTTGCTGTATTATACTGATAACTCACTATTATAAATTAAAATACAAATCCAAACCACGCAGAAAAGAAAGCTTGAGTTCATATGCTCTGATTTCCCTGTAGTCCTAGGACCCACTTTTACTGCTCTCCTGTGGTAATTACGTGCATGACCAAAGGGATAATGTATGTTTCGCTTAATTAGTCACAAAACACTTCTGTGAAAGGCACTGGTTGGAGGGGTGCAGAGATCAATAAAATATGGTTCCTACTCTTGTAGATCTGTTTAATAACCTACAGGAGATGCACCAGGCATACAAGTATGTGAGCTGCCAGATTCTGTTTACTTGGGATAGTTTGTGTTTCTCAAAATTGAGTGTATATAGAATCTCCCAGGGCACTTGTTTAGAAATGCAGGTTCTTGGGCCCAGCTCCTTCAGTCAGCTGGAGAGACAGGGCTCAGAAATCTTCAGTGTTCGTAACTACTCCTGAAAGAATCCTGATGCTGATGGTCAGGGGTGGCCCCTTGAGAACTGGAATTGGAGCAGAGGGAGATGACACAATAGGAAATAGATGTGCAGGGAGCTGTGTTTGCAGTAGAACCAGAAGAAGTGGTGAGATGTGGACCCTGGGGAGTGGAGACAGAGTCCCAGAGGGGAAGGTGGCTTGCAACCTGCCCAAGTGAGGAAACCGGATAGACAAAGGCGATGATCTGCCTTCTCCTTACCTTTCTTAGTCATTCTTTTCTTTTAAATTGAGCTATGGTCAGTTTACAACGTTGTGTCAGTTTCTGGTGTACAGCACCATACTTCAGTCATACGTATATGTGTGTATTTCTTTTTATACTCTTTTTCATAATAGGTTATAACAAAATATTGAATATAGTTCCCTGTGCTATTAAGTGAAGTAAGCCAAAGAGAGAAAGAAAAATACCATATGATATCACTTATATGTAGACTCTTTTAAAAAAAAAATGACACAAATGAATTTGTTTACAAAACAGGAACAGACTCACAGGCATAGAAAACAAACTTGTGGTTATGAGCGGGGGAAGGGAGTGGGAAGGGATAAATTGGGAGTTTGAGATTTGCAGATAATAATTGCTGTATATAAAATAGATAAACAACACACCTATCTTTCATTCTTGATCAGATGTTCCAGATCCACCAGAAAACCTTCACTTGTCTGACAGACAGAACAGGAGTGTTCGGCTGACGTGGGAAGCTGGGGACGACCACAACAGCAATGTTAGCGGTAGGAAGCCTTGGGACTGTGTCACCCAGAGTCAGAATGCATACTAAAGCTATTTTTACCACCGTGGGTGGATTATCCTTCTTAAAACATCCTCTGAAACTTTTAATCTCGTGTAGAAATTTTAGCATAACTTAAACATTCCCAGTCCATTTTTTTTCCTGTGTTCTATTGCCAGAATATATTGTAGAATTTGAAGGGAACAAAGAGGAACCTGGAAGGTGGGAGGAACTGACTAGAGTCCAAGGAAAGGAAACAGCAGTCCTGTTATCTCTGGCTCCATACGTGAGATACCAGTTTAGGGTCACGGCTGTGAATGAAGTAGGGAGAAGCCAGCCCAGCCGGCCGTCAGACCATCATGAAACCCCCTCCAGCAGGTATGTAAGTTCCCATCTCCGGTTTCTAACAAAATATTTCAGTTTGCCCCATCTTTAAACATCTGAAAAAAAATAAAAGGGTTGAGAACCTAGTGTGAGATTTTAGATTTCTCCCAACAGAGAGCTGGAGAAGTTTTGTGAACTCACATCATGGAAAATAATCAAAGCACATCAGTCTCATAGGTAGTATATCAGTGTTTGATAGAGAGCAGGAAGCGACAAGGAGAGCTTGGGCAGGTGTTACTCTGAGTGATTTCTGACAGCTACTTGCTGTGTTAAAGTCACATACCAGAAAGTCAGTTATAAACGGAAGTTCAATATAGAGAGAAAGTCAACTTCCTCCCTTGATTTTTCTCCTCATTTTAACTTCCTGAAATAAAATATTTGACATTTTATAGGCAGCTTGTCAAATTTTCAGTGTATCTAATGTCATTAAGTTTATGCTCCAAGTGTATTTTTGTATCTCAGTGTCTAAATAGGTAGATACATAAAACCTATGTAAATTCTCAAGATGCTTTCCTAAAAAAAAAAATCTCAGGAATGAGCAGACTGTAGTGTATACAGAAGTCAAACTATAGAAGTAAGCATGGAACTTATATAATGTTATAAACTCATAAACGATAGTGCTGAAGTTTGTATTACTGAATTGGGATTGGTCATTGATGTGGTCATAGCCTGGTGTTTTCTCCTTTTTTCCTGTGGGTAAAATAAACATGCTAGGATATGGTTCCCTTTTTGGACCGAGAAACAGCAAGTAGAGGTAATAACTGAATGAGATACTTGTGTGATTTTAGTATAAGTTCAACTTGGCTTGGGCTCCATACTTAGCTGTTTTTCATAAAACGGATCCATGTGAATATGCTCCGTGGGCACATTACCCGCTGTTTTCCTATTTGATGTCCCTGAAACATGGTTGTTGCCGTCAACACATGGTCTTTATTCATTTATAGGCAAATATTCACAACAAAACTTCTAACAATAATTGTAATAGAAAATGTAAAGCTGGCTTAAAACTAAAATGTGTATTTAAGTAGTAGGCTTAGGATTAAAAAAAGTTTTAAAAATTTAAAGAGAGCAGGTTTAAAACCAAGATACGTAAAATAAACCATCTCCCCTCAACTGAATAATTATATCACTCAACGAACACAATTTTACTCCTTCAAATAAAATATATATTTAAAAGCTGCCTTATGAGGTGATGGGTGTGTTAAGTAATCTTATTGTGGTAATCATGTCATAACATACACATATGAATATTATGCATATATATATATAAAATATACGCGCACAAAGAATCGTTACGTTGTATACCTTAAATGTATACGTTATATGTCAATTACATCTCAATTATATCTCAATAAAGCTGGAGGAAAAAACCTGTTTGTAACTCTTCTTACAAACTGGGCCAGATAGAAGCAAACAAATATAATCAAAGTTATTAAAAAATCTGTTGTTGTGTATGTACGTGTGGGAGGAGGGATGATAATGATGATTTACCTACTGGCTATACAATGGGAAAAAGTAGTTTTAATGCTTGTAATTTTTCAGCTCCAGACAAGAATCCACAAAATATAAGGGTTCAAGCTTCTCAACCCAAGGAAATGATTATAAAATGGGAGGTGAGGATTCTTTGATGTCTTACTTATTTATTACGTTTGTGTTATTTTTACTTTTTTTAGGTCTAGGTCTGCATGCTAAGTATAATGATAGAACAATATTTTAAGAACAAATTGATACTTGTATATTTTATAAATATTTTTATTTGTATACTTTAAAGATCATCATGAGAATGTTGTGAAATAGAGCTTAACAGTGGTAGAAAATTTAAGGAAGGTTATACAAGCTGATGTCATTATAATCCATTACCAAAAGTTTGATTCCTAATACATTTATTACCAATATTCTAAATCCTCTCCCATTCAAAAAATACTGAAAACTTTTCACTAAATTTTGGCACATGGGCTAAGGAAGATTATGCATGTCAAAAGGATGACTCCCAAGGAATAGTCACTACTCAGTAATCACTATTAAGTATTTTGTGTACTCGTATCAAATTCTGAGAACAATATTGTCAGAAGAGCATCATTAATGCCATGTTCTAGATCTATGAACTGAGATCCAGGCTCATTGAGAGACTGACGCATCACCACACAACTAGAAATCAGCAGAGCCAGGATTTAAACATGGATACATTGGGACTTCAGACTCTGCTCATTCTCTTTATATATATATCTCTGGTAAAAGTTACTAAAATAGACTTTCTTCTTTGAATTTGGCATAGATGTTTATATAGTGTATATATACACACACACATACATATACATAAATATAAAAGTTTATATAAATCTGCTCACATGAATCTGATTTTTTTAGTGTCATTTTATATTTGTTTTAACAGTGGAAAACTTCCCCCTGCTACTATTTGGACATATTTCATGAATAAGTATTTTCACCTACTTGAAAGTAGGTTACCATTCAATGATTCTGATTGAAAAAAGGCTTCTGACATTGAATTCAGTGAACTTTACAAACAGTTTTGAATATATGTTGGAATATATTAATTTATTTGCACACCCCATTCCAAGGATAATTTTTAGAAGGATTTTAGACTGTATAATGTTTGGCTTGATTTGTTTCTTCTTCATATATTGGTCTTACATTACATGATAACATCGTTGATACCTGCAAAATACTTAGTCAATATAGGAGGATACTTTTCTAATATTAGTATACAATTCTAGTAACAGAAATTTCCCTAAGATAGCTGATACAGCTAATCAGATCACAGTAATAAATAATTAAAAGGTCACTTCCTCAGAGAAGCACACCATGTTCCACTAACATGAGCACTGCATTTCATACAGAGAAGCTGTGGCTGTGATTTCAGTGACCTTACCCAGGTGCCATGCTCTGAGTCAGTCATGAAAAGAGGGCAGAAATCTTTAGTTCTTTTACTGATTGTCTTACTCATAAATCACTCTCCCCCTGCCAAAACATACTGAAGACTTACGATTAACGCTTTCTTCTTGGAAGAATGGCATTACTCTAAGAAAGTGTTTATAATTTGTCGTTCAAGAGTAAATCACATGTAATTTAGTAATTACTTGACCAGAGGAAGGAAGTAGTCAGAGAAATTGGGAACTACATTTTGACAACTGCATTCATAATATATTCAGTGTGGTTCATATCATTCTGAAGTGTCAGAGATCCAGTAACGGTAAGGACAACTAGTGAAGTTTAAGAACATTTATTCATTGGTTATTGCTTTGCATGAATTACCCTATAAAATGGAGTTACATGCCAGATAACTTCCCAAGCTGACAAGCAGACACTGTGAATATATTACCAGATCCCCTCCCAAGTCTGATTGACAAAATAAATGTTGCCTACAAGATAATGATCAGAGAGAAACAATTTGTTTAAAAAAAAAAGTTACTCTTCCACAAAATGATTAAATAGGAACAGACTATTTGTCCCTAACTTTTTTTTTTAATTTTTAGCATTAAGTATCATTAAAAATAATGTGTTATGAGGTCCTTGGTTTCTATATGGCAGTAGCATAAAAATAGTCATTGCTCTCTTGGAATGTATAATCCAGTTGGAGGGACAGACAATGAGCAAATACATTAGAAATAATATCATTTATTAAAAAATTCAATAGAGGAAAATAATATACAGAGTTCTGTATGCAGGTTACTAATAAATGTGCATTTAGCCATTGAATGGATGAACCTTCTATTACAGTCAAAAATTAATTTATTTTATTGGGCTCATGTTCCATCATATATGAATTATGTTTGTAATGTATTACAGTAAATAATAAGGACACAAGTTTTGAAAGTAATGTATTAAATTTTAACTTAATGATAGAACTAGTCATTTTAGTTTGCATTATCTTCTAAAATTCACTTTCTATATATTTAGGTATGTAATGACTCACCCAAACATTTTCAGTGTTTAAAAAATGGTAATACCCTGCCCCTCAAAACAGAAAAAGAGCCCACCACGAATTGGCTGGTTAGATAATTACATCATAGTGATTTTTGCTTGCATTTCCCCATTGTTCTTAAGTGTACATGTATTTACGTTAAATTTGGACTTGAATAAAACAGCAAATTTCTGATCTCAAAGATTCAAAAAAACAAACAAAACAAACAGAAACCCACTACTGTTTGGGAAACAGAAACTTCTCCAGTTACCCGGTTACATGGTCACAGCCAAGTTGTTTCACTCCTAAAGGGCCTAGGATTGATTATTTCTGCTCCGAGTGTAATAAGAAAGTCCATCGGCTGTAAAATGATTGTAGGCAGTACAGAAAGTTTGTCCAGTTTCTAGATCAGTCATTATGACCTTGCTTTGTTCATGGATCTCTTTGAAAATATAATAGAAGCATAGGGTTTTTCCCTAGAAGAGTACATATAGAAAGATTTCCTAACAGTTTCCTGGCTTCTCAGGTCCTTTTAAGGCCACCGATGAACCCCATCTAGAGATGCCTGGACATGAAGTTAAGAACCTCTTTTCTAGAGATTCCTTCGTCCAGAGCAGCTTCCTGAGGGGAGGGAAGGCTGGTGGCCTTTCCCTGCACCCACACCCCTGGCTCTTGTCTTGCAACTCTGGTCTGTTATCTTTGTTGGGGCCTATTGGAGAATTTGCTAAGGTTTTGTTTTCCACTGTCTAAAAGCCAAATATAAAGTAGTCTTGCTGCTTCTTCAGGAGTCTAGGCATCAAGGAGGCTGGTAATTCAGATTTTTCTTAAAAGTGTTAACCTACAGTGGCATAGTTTGTTTTGAAATTTTCCAGAGAGCTTTATCAACTGTAACTATTTTTCTTGAAGCACATGTGTAAATTGAATGAGTGTTTGTATACATTTATTGTCAGTAGGGGCTGAAGGATATTGTAATTCCAGGCTGCAGTATGGAACTTAAAGCCTGATTTATCTGGGCAATGCTGAAGTCCATGGTGAATTATCTATATAAGAGTAGAAAATTATCTTGGGGCCAAACTTTGAATGCAAAACAATTACTATGAAAATCTCAGTTTTAGCTTTCTTTGGATTTGTTTCCTCCTAGCTAATTTAAGTATTCACCTTGGAATAAGCATAGACTTGCAGTTATTTTGCTAATATAGTGCTGTGCTTTCAACTTAATACCATCTAATCCTTCTAATAACATTTTAGTAAATTAGACCGAGTCAAGAAGCATTGCAAACTCTGGAAGAAGACTATATATGACATTACGAGTCACTCCCATATACAGACAAATTTACTACTTATATAAGTGAACCGTATAATCTAGGACTAAAAGCACATTTTTTCCATGTTTTAAATCATTGATTCATTTAAATGCACATTTGCATTGTTGTGATATTACATGGGTGGTTTAAATCACATTAGTATTTTTCCAATTGAAGTATTTGTTGATTAGAAACTAAAGCAGAAATAACCACTTTCCTATACTAGACATTCCTCCACTAAATACTCCATACAACAAGATAAAGTAGAAGGTGGGGAGCACTTTCTCTTTAAAGAAATAGAAACACAATGGTCAAGAAGCTGGGGAATTATTATAGAGGAGCTACAGCTTCTGGGCACATGTACAAAAATGCATATTATCCAAAAATGCTTAATTTCTCTCTTCTCTTGGAATTAGGATAGAGGAGGCTGGATGGACTCAGGCAGGAAGAGTTCTAACTGAAAAGTCATGGGGCAATCCCATTTACAACCGTGGAATTCATATTTCTGCTAGTTCTTTGGGAATGGAAAGTAGACAAACTATAGAAGAAAGTGCTAAAACACTCTGTGGAATTTATTTGTTCATATTTGGAAGAATTGACTGTTAAGACTTGATCACAAGGGCATAATCCAGGATCTGAATTGTGCGCTTCTTAATACGTGGGGAGGTGAAGGAGTTACTTTCAAGCTTAAACTTACAGAATGACAGAAAATTTTCACAAGTATTTCCAAACCAAAGAAGAGGGGTTGACAATTTCCCAAGCAATGACACCTCCATTACAGTGTTTCTTGTGCCAAGTGGAGTCGCTTGCCTGTCTGACTTAAGATACCTGTGATCACACTGGATGGGTCTTGCCTTCTCTTTTAGCCTTTGAAACCCATGGAGCAGAATGGACCAGGGCTGGAGTACAGAGTGACCTGGAAGCCGCAGGGAGCTCCAGTGGAGTGGGAGGAAGAAACAGTCACAAACCACACCCTGCGGGTGATGACACCGGCTGTCTATGCTCCGTATGATGTCCAAGTCCAAGCCATCAACCACCTGGGCTCTGGCCCTGAGCCTCAGCCAGTGATCCTCTATTCCGGAGAAGACTGTAAGTGGTGCGCCTGACAGCGCGTCAAGAGTAGTTTCTCTCCAGTCTATTACGCATCTGTCGATGAACATTTTTGAGCAACTACTGCATGCAAAGAGGATGTACTAGCTGTGGGAGATAGAAATACATGTAGAACACGTTTCCTACTTGAGAGTTGACTGCAGGACGGCTGATCAGTATAGAGTGGTGAGGAAGGATGTTGAAAGGTTTTATTTTATTCAGTTTCCTGATTAAGGGATTTCTGCGTTTCTGAAAATCAGAGACCTGGAGTCATCACTGCACACAGTTAAGCAGCATAAGTAGCATAAGGCTTCCAGCGACATCTGCACTTACTTGTCACGGGCCCTCTAACAGCCAGCTGCTCCCATGCCCTGGCCCCAGCTGCATGTCTGGAGCCTTCCCAAGGTAGGTGGGGTGCAGACCTAGACTTGCTTATGGAACTACAGATAGACACACAGGAGTCTGAGGCACTGGTGATATGAGCTTATTATTATATACTTATACCACAATCATAGCTGCAAATAGATCTGGAAAGAGGAAAGACACTGCGTTCCAAATCACTACACAGTAGGAGTTACTCTCACTCTTCATCCAGCATCCAAAGTAGTATTTTGATCCAACAGTAGGAGAAGATTGAGAATGTGAAATGACTAGCTCCTAATTCACCTGCCACCTAAATTCTTAATACACAGGACTTGTCAGCTTATCACTGTCAGCTAAGATTTTAGTGTTGGCTGCTGCAGGTTTGATATATTCCTCTGTAGTCAGCTCCCCTGTAGAAAGGGGAAAATAGTACCACTTTAGAGGGTTGTTCTAAGGGTTACGTGAGCCAATCTAGGACAGGCCCTTAGAAGAGTGTCTGGCACGTAGCACTCAGTGTTAGCTGCTGTTATCAACATTAGATTCATCCAACCCTCAGGTGATTTCAGTTATATTTTTAGTCTAGTTCACGTGTTTCCATGAGCAAAATGCCCACAGAATATTTCACTGACCGCTGTTTGCAGCTACACTGCCCACGTCGCATCCATCTGGAGAGGGGCTTTTCTCAGTGCGGTACACGTGCTCCTCTCTCTAGAAACCTACTTGGGCGCTGAAAGTCTTCTGTAATGAGAAACTCTCGTGGTTCCATTTGGGACTGGTGTCACAAAAGTGCTTTCCCCAGATTGAACAATATGGAAGATCATCTTTTGAAAAGGATCCTAATAATAGTGTCTGGAGATTACTGAGAGCTAATTATTCTTACATGCTCAACAGATCCTGATACAGCTCCCGTGATCCATGGGGTGGATGTTATAAACAGCACGTTGGTTAAAGTCACCTGGTCAGCAATTCCAAAGGACAGAGTTCACGGACATCTGAAAGGATATCAGGTTTATGTCATAGGTTTTCTTCTTCTCATTGAGTTAATACCTTTCTTACAAATAAAGAATTGATTTCAAGAAGAAGCCGAAACAGAGTCTGCCACCAGGGCTGAGATAGTAAAATTCCTATTTTCATTGCAGGTAAATTGGTGGAAAACGAAAAGTCTGTTGGATGGGAGAACACATCCCAAAGAAGTAAACATTCTGAGATTTTCAGGACAAAGAAACTATGGAATGGTTCCTTCCCTAGATGCCTTTAGTGAATTTCACCTAACAGTCTTAGCCTATAATTCCAAAGGCGCTGGTCCGGAAAGCGAGCCTTATATATTTCAAACACCAGAAGGAGGTGAGAGACTAACAATGTAGAATAAATATCAATTTATAAATAAATAACAACTTTCATACCAAATTAAATATCTCAATGGCCAAAACTTGTCCTCCCTTATACAAATTATTACTAGTTAATCAATTTGTATGTTATAGGAGTTAGCTGCTCAGTTTCTATGAAAAACTGTAATCTAATGTTTTTTTTTGTTTTTTGGTTACAGACATTTACCAATTGATGAGTATCTTTTCTTGTGTTTTCTAGTACCTGAACAGCCGACTTTTCTCAAGGTCATCAAAGTTGATAAAGACACTGCCACTTTATCCTGGGGACTACCTAAGAAATTGAATGGAAACTTAACTGGCTATCTATTACAATACCAGATAAGTAAGTACAGATTTGAATTGGATTCATCTATTAATGTTTTATTTTTTGGTTGAATATTTGGTCTACTATGCTGAGAATCTAATGATCGTGGTTTGTAGGCCGGCGTACTTCCTTGCAGCACAGGGCTCTGTTAACTGGCTTGCAGACCAAAGCCAGCCCACTGCCTGTCTTCACTGGAACAGGGCCATGTCCACTCACTCATATTTGTCTGTAGTGGCAGAGTTGAGAAGTTGCGACAAAAACTGCATGACCCACAAAGGCTAAAATATTTAGTCTAGTCATTTCTACAAAGGTTTGCCAATTTCTGTTTTAGAAGAAAACCAGTATGTTAATGGTACCAGGAAACACGTGTTTACTATTTATACGTAAGAGGCCTTGAGAATTAGGAAACATGAATAGTTAGTAAACGAGGTAGTGGAGATTCAAAGCACACGTGACTCCCACACTGCACTGCTGCTTCTGTCCCTCACGCTTGCTTCCAGCCTCAACCCTGCATATTTGTATAGAATCCTCTACTCGCAGCCCACCGGTACAGCCATGTAATACTGAGATGACCGAAGAGCTGTCTTTGGACCATTACCCAGAAGAGGCTCTCCCCACATGCTGCTGGGCTGTCAGTTGAAAACTACATGTTTACATTTTTTAAATCAGCTCATTTTTAATCATGGCACCTCCCATCCCTAACAGTCTTCAAATGCAAGCTTCATCTCAAAATGGAAATTAGGGGACTGAGGTCACAGAAAAATATTACGTGTTGAGAACACGATTTCCCAAACAACCAAAACACTAGGAATAAAGAAACCCAGTCCATACTGCTTGCAAAAGCCAGCTGGATCATAGCCCTGATGTGCGACTCTGCCGTCAGTCAGTTCAGGGCTGGCGGCCGTCCAGGTCGGGTACCAGCTTCAGCTTCTGGTGACCTGCTCTGAGTTGGGTACATATGATAAAATGGATGCAGGCCTAACCCCAACAGAGGCAGAATTTTAGCATTTTTGAATGTTTGTTTTCTATATAGCAGAATCAGTAGGTACTAAGTACTCTAATTTTTCCTTAAAATAGAAGAAACCTACGAGGTTTGCACTGTCACTGCTTCATGGATGAGGGAACTGAGGCATACAGAGCTCACTTACAGGGAGTGCTGTGGTACAGGGAGTGTTAAGCAGGGTTCAGGCCCAGCTTGCGCTCACTAAGCCCATACTGTTCCATACACTGGTTTTCAAATGTGTAGAAAGAACTGAAGAAATATTTGAACTCTCTTAAAATGTCAATTTGTTTGGTAAAGATATGCCTTGTCTTTATCCTAATATTGAAGAAACTCAACATAAAATAAATTCCAATCCTCACATTTATCTGTATATAATATTTAACTTTATTTAAAAAAATAAGTTATTAGAATATATAAAGAAAAAGTTGAAATGTTAACAATTGCAGTGATTACTGTACTGCTTCATATGTAGATTTTTTGATAAAAGGATACAATTATATACTTACTTTGCTCTCTATTAAATCATGCAGTATTTTAAATGATTTATCTCTTTCTACTGCTATCATATGTTCAGAATAGTTGATTTTATATATGAGAGCTCTGTATAAACTGTCTTGAATTTTTACATTGATTGTGGTAGTTTTTCAGTTGACTTTGTGGTATTTTACAGGAACATTCTCAATCTACAGTGATGATTTTGTTTTCTTCTTTTCATTTTTACTCATCTAATTGCATTATATAGACCAATGAAGGTATTTTTATGTTAGAAGTAAATACATTTTTAATAGTCTCTCGGACTGAGAGTCAAGAGGATTTGTTTTCTTACCATTAATGGCTGTACGATTTGGACATAATCATTTAATCTCTTGGACTAATCCTGTA